CAACATTCAAACCTGTATCCCACACTGGTTTCATAAACCAAGAGACTCTGTTTGGACTCTGTTCCATTTCCAATGGACATAGAATCATAGTATCAGGTTTCGATGTCATCTCAAATAAATTGCATTTCCAGACAATTAATCTTTGCTGAAATCTTCCATTTATTGAGTACAACAATCTGGCCCCGACTCTGTCGTAGCCGATACTAACCCTCTGACCCCCAAACCCTTCCCTTTCCGTTCCCCAATTCTCAGCGTCTCATTGGCCATCTTCCAAGTCAGTCTCCCCCCTTCCTGACTTCAACCCACAGGAATGTCCCCCCTCCCATCCCATCTCCTAGGGGATATTATCTACAGAGAAAATAAGTAGGTGAAAAGTCAAGCCTCTTCGTCTTCTCTTTATGGCAGCATTAGAATGCTGACACATAGATCATAGAATTTTAGGGCTTGAAGGGTCCTTAAGAGGTCTTCTAGTCCAACCCGCTGCCTACATTATGCTATCCCAGACATTGTTCAATATCTCTTCTTGAAAAACCTCCAGCAATGGAGCATCACAACTCCAGCAGGCAAGCGATTTCATTGATTAAATACCCACTATTGGAGGAAAAAAAAAAGCTATTTCACTGTCACAGCTTGGGACCCCTCTGAATAAGACACCCATATAACTTAGTTAATGAATAATGACAAAAGAAGGGCCTCCTTCTTCTGGCATGGATCAGAAGCAGCCATGAACTACTGGTAGTCCTTGACTTATGACCACAATTTGGAATCAGAATTTCTAATTGCTAAACAATGCGGTTGTTAAGGCATCCAGTTTTACAATGTTTATTTGCCACGGTTGTTAAGCGAATCACCCAGTTGGTTGAGCACATTTGGCTCCTCCCCTTGATTTTGTGGATTTTGGAATCTGGCTGGGAAGGAGGCAAAATGGCAATCACGTGACTCCAGGACTCTGCAACCATTCTAAATGCATGCCCATCGCCAAGAACCTGAATTCTGATCACGTGACTGTGGAGATGCTGCAATGGTCATAAGGGCAAGGAATGGTCATACACAATGTTAATTAATTAATTAATTAATTAATTAATTAATTAATTAGTCCAATTTATATGCCGCCCTTCTCCGAAGACTCAGGGCGACTTACAATGCATTATAGGAATAGCCTTCATTCTTTTGTATATACCTGCTTATTAAGGCTTTTGGCCCCCCATAAGCGGTGTTTCTACAAAGTCAGCTTATTGCCCCCACAATCCGGGTCCTCAATTTACCTACCTCGAAAGGATGGAAGGCTGAATCAACCTTGAGCCTGGTGAGACTTGAACTCGCACTAATTACAGGCAGCTGGCAGCTAAGTGCTAGCACTTAACAGCACTTAGTCCGCTGCACCACCGAGGCTCATAATTGGTACCGGGAGGTGTGATGAGTCTTTAAAAGGACGAGTCCCAAACAAACCACGTGACGTAACTGTCTGTCTGTCCCTTTTCCTATGTCATTGATCTTCCCAGCATGGCCAACTTCCTGTCTGCTCTCCATAGCCATCACCCTCCTACTATTGCAATAGAGTAGAGTAGAGTAGAGTAGAATAGAATAGAATAGAATAGAATAGAATAGAATAGAATAGAATAGAATAGAATAGAATAGAATTCTTTATTGGCCAAGTGGGATTGGACACACAAGGAATTTGTCTTTGGTGCATTTGCTCTCAGTGTACATAAAAGGACAAGATACATTAATCAAGAATCAATAGAATAGAATAGAATAGAATAGAATAGAATAGAATAGAATAGAATAGAATAGAATAGAATAGAATAGAACAGAACAGAACAGAATAGAATAGAATAGAATTAGAACAGCGATAGGATAGGATAGGATAGGATAGGATAGGATAGGATAGGATAGGATAGGATAGGATAGGATAGGATAGGATTCTTTATTGGCCAGATGTGATTGGACACACAAGGAATTTGTCTTGGTGCATATGCTCTCAGTGTACATAAAAGAAAAGATACACTCATCAAGAATCATAAGGTACAACACTTAATGATAGTCATAGGGTACAAATACAATATGTCAGGTACTAAACAAACACCGGCCTCAAAAAGCGTTGAGTACCAAATTTGACAAATTTTGAAGCAATCAAGTACCGAGGTACCACTGTAATGTCACGTTATTCATGCTGTTGTAACTGTTCACAGTCACTAAGTGAATGGCTGTAAATCAGGGACTATTTGTACAGGGAGGTTCCTGAAAATTTAAGGGGAGCCCTATGAATCTTTGGGGCAAGGAATCCTGGGAAAGGGACTCCAAAGAGTTCAAGGGGGCCGAGTGTGTTCTCTGACCACAGGATGCTAAGTAGGCCTTGGCTTAGGACCCACAACTGAGCCCCGCATTTCTGTTGCTAAATGAGACAGTTGTTAAGTGAGTTTTGCCTCACTTTACGACCTTTCTTGCCACCGTTGTTAAGTGACTCACTGCAGTTGTAAAGTTAGCAACACGGTCATGAAGCAAATCTGGCTCCCCCATTGACTCTGCGTGTCACAAAAGGTGAACACATGATCCCAGGAGATTGATCAGAAATACATGCCAGTTACCAAGTGCCTGAATTTTGATCACGTGGCCATGGGAACCCTGCAACCGTCGTAAGAGTGAAAAACGGTCATAAGTCACTTTTTTTTTAGTGTCGTAACTTTGGTCTCTTAACAAACTGTTGTTTCTTTGGTCTCTTAATGAACTGTTGTTAAGTCGAGGACTACCTGTACCAACCTTTTGAGTGGAGGGAAGGGAAGAGGGATGGAGAAAGGGTTGGCCGGGAACCCATCTTCCTGGAAGAAAGACAGCTGCCTGGCACAGCTGGCTATAAGGGTTGCCCAGAAAGACGACCGACCCAGTGGTGAAATCCACATTTTTAATACTACCGGTTCTCTGGGCGTGGCTTGGTGGGCGTGGCAGCAGAAGGATACTGCAAAATCCCTATTCCCTTCCCACTCCAGGGGAAGGATACTGCAAAATCCCCATTCCCTCCCCACTCCTGGAAGAAGGATAATGCAAAATCCCCATTTGCACCCCACTCCAGGGGAAGGATACTGCAAAATCCCCGTTCCCACCCCACTCCAGGGGGAAGGATACTGCAAAATCCCCATTCCCTCCCCACTCCAGGGGGAAGGATACTGCAAAATCCCCATTCCCTCCCCACTCCTGGAAGAAGGATATTGCAAAATCCCCATTTGCACCCCACTCCAGGGGAAGGATACTGCAAAATCCCCGTTCCCACCCCACCCCAGGGAGAAGGATACTGCAAAATCCCCATTCCCTCCCCACTCCTGGGGGCCAGCCAGAGGTGCTATTTGCCGGTTTCTCCGAACTACTCCAAATTCCCGCTACCGGTTCTTCAGAACCTAATGGATTTCACCCCTTTGACCGATCGGATTTGCGGGGGAGTGCAAAGTGCATCTTTCACCCTCTAACAAAAAGCCAGGCTGATCGAGGAACGGGCGGAGCTGCTTGATCTAGTGGAGGGTGTGGGTGGGGGGTGGAGCTGCTTGATCTAGTGGAGGGGGTGGGTGGGGGGGTGGAACTGCTTGATCTAGTGGAGGGTGTGGGTGGGGGGGGTGGAGCTGCTTGAGCTAGTGGAGGGGGTGCGTGGGGGGGTGGACCTGCTTGATCTAGTGGAGGGGGTGGGTGGGGGTGGTGGAGCTGCTTGATCTAGTGGAGGGTGTGGGTGGGGGGTGGTGGAGCTGCTTGATCTAGTGGAGGGGGTGCGTGGGGGGTGGTGGAGCTGCTTGATCTAGTGGAGGGTGTGGGTGGGGGGTGGTGGAGCTGCTTGATCTAGTGGAGGGGGTGGGTGGGGGGGTGGAGCTGCTTGCTCTAGTGGAGGGGGTGGGTGGGGGGTGGTGGAGCTGCTTGATCTAGTGGGGGGGTGCATGGGGGGGTGGAGCTGCTTGATCTAGTGGAGGGGGTGCGTGGGGGGGGTGGAGCTGCTTGATCTAGTGGAGGGGGTGGGTGGGGGGTGGGGGAGCTGCTTGATCTAGTGGAGGGTGTGGAGCTGCTTGATCTAGTGGAGGGTGTGGGTGGGGGGTGGGGGAGCTGCTTGATCTAGTGGAGGGTGTGGAGCTGCTTGATCTAGTGGAGGGGGTGGGTGGGGGGGTGGAACTGCTTGATCTAGTGGAGGGTGTGGGTGGGGGGGGTGGAGCTGCTTGAGCTAGTGGAGGGGGTGCGTGGGGGGGTGGAGCTGCTTGATCTAGTGGAGGGGGTGGGTGGGGGGTGGGGGAGCTGCTTGATCTAGTGGAGGGTGTGGAGCTGCTTGATCTAGTGGAGGGGGTGGGTGGGGGGGTGGAACTGCTTGATCTAGTGGAGGGTGTGGGTGGGGGGGGTGGAGCTGCTTGAGCTAGTGGAGGGTGGGGGGTGCGTGGGGGGGTGGACCTGCTTGATCTAGTGGAGGGGGTGGGTGGGGGGTGGTGGAGCTGCTTGATCTAGTGGAGGGTGTGGGTGGGGGGGTGGTGGAGCTGCTTGATCTAGGAGTGGGGGGGTGCGTGGGGGTGGTGGAGCTGCTTGATCTAGTGGAGGGTGTGGGTGGGGGGTGGTGGAGCTGCTTGATCTAGTGGAGGGGGTGGGTGGGGGGGTGGAGCTGCTTGCTCTAGTGGAGGGGGTGGGTGGGGGTGGTGGAGCTGCTTCATCTAGTGGAGGGGGTGGGGTGGGGGGGTGGTGGAGCTGCTTGATCTAGTGGAGGGGGTGCATGGGGGGGTGGAGCTGCTTGATCTAGTGGAGGGGGGTGCGTGGGGGGGTGGAGCTGCTTGATCTAGTGGAGGGGGTGGGGGGGGGGTGGGGGAGCTGCTTGATCTAGTGGAGGGTGTGGAGCTGCTTGATCTAGTGGAGGGGGTGCGTGGGGGGGGGAAAGGCGTGTGAAGGAGGAAAGGAGAGGATCTTCCAGGAGAGCCAATGACTCCTCCTTCCTTCCTTCCTTCCTTCCTTCCTTCCTTCCTTCCTTGCGCAGCGCTGCTTGGCCAGGGGGCTTGGAGGGGGGGTCTCGTCTGCGTCAGAGGCTCCCCCAGCGGTATATAAATAGGAGCAGGCGGCAGTGCCCAGCCGCAGAGCGGTCTCCCTCGGCCAGGTGGCAGCTTCGCTTTCCTCCCTCCTTCCCCTTTCCCCTGCCCAGCAGGACCAGAGCGAGCCGCTGCCATGAGTACCTTCGGCTACGAGACCTACTTCCCGTCCTACAAGCGGCGCTTCGTGGAGAGCAGCCCCCGAGTCCATCTCTCCAGCTCTCTCCGGACCGGCGGAGGTGCCGTCGGGGGCGGCGTCGGCGGCGTCGGCTATGGAGTGGCTCGCTCGACTTACTCCAGCCTCTCGGCGCCCGTCTCCTCCGCCTCGGTCCGGCGTAGCTACACCTCGTCTTCCTCCTCCTTGCTGCTGCCCCCGTCGGTGGAAAGCCTGGACCTGAGCCAGGTGGCGGCCATCAGCAACGACCTGAAGGCCATCCGCAGCCAGGAGAAAGCTCAGCTCCAGGACCTCAACGACCGCTTCGCCTGCTTCATCGAGCGCGTCCACGAGCTGGAGCAGCAGAACAAGGTGCTGGAAGCGGAGCTGATGGTGCTGCGGCAGAAGCACAGCGAGCCTTCCCGCTTCCGCTCCCTCTACGAGCAGGAGATCCGCGAGCTGCGCCTGGCCACCGAGGAAGCCGCCCACGAGAAGCAGGCGCTGCAGGGCGAGCGCGAGAACCTGGAGGAGACCCTGCGCGCCTTGCAGGCGCGCTACGAGGAAGAGGTGCTCAGCCGCGAGGATGCCGAGGCCGCTTGCTGGAGGTGCGCAAAAGCGCCGACGAGGCGGCCCTGGCCCGGGCCGAGCTGGAGAAGCGCATCGACAGCCTCCTGGACGAGCTGGCTTTCCTCAAGAAGGTCCACGAGGAGGAGCTGGCCGAGCTCCAGGCCCAGATCCAGTACGCTCACCTCTCCGTCGAGATGGACGTCTCGGCCAAGCCCGACCTCTCCTCCGCCCTGCGCGACATCCGCTCCCAGTACGAGAAGCTGGCGGCGCGCAACATGCAGAACGCCGAGGAGTGGTTCCGCAGCCGCTTCACCGTCCTCACCGAGAGCGCCGCCAAGAACACCGACGCCGTCCGAGCCGCCAAGGACGAGGTCTCCGAGAGCCGACGCCTCCTCAAGGCCAGGACCCTGGAGATCGAGGCCACCCGCGGCATGATGAACGAGGCCCTCGAGAAGCAGCTGCAGGACCTGGAGGAGAAGCAGAACGCCGATCTCGCCGCCCTACAGGTGGGGCCGGCTCGGGGGGATGGGGCTGCTGTGCTGTCTGTCTGTCTGTCTGTCTGTCTGTCTCTCTCCCTCCCTCTCTCTCCCTTTCCTCTCCCTCTCCCTCCCTCTCTCTTCCTCCCTTCCTCTCCCCCTCTCTTTCTCCCTTTCCCTCCCTCTTCTTCTCCCTCTCTCTCTCCCTCTCTCCCTCTCCCTCTCCCTCTCTCTCCCTCTCTCTCTCTCTCCCTCCCTCTCCCTCTCTCTCTCTCTCCCTCCCTCTCTCTCCCTTTCCCTCTCCCTCTCCCTCCCTCTCTCTCTCCCTCTCTTCTCTCTCTCCCTCTCCTCTCCCTCTCTCCCTCCCTCCCTCCGTCTCCCTCCTCTCTCTCTCCCCTCTCTTCTTCTCCCTCTCCCTCTCCCTCTCTCCCTCCCTCCCTCCGTCTCCCGCTCCCTCCCCCCTCTCTCTTAATTAGATTTATATGCCACCCTTCTCCAGAGACTCAGGGCGGCTTACAATGCGTTAAGCAATAGCCTTCATACTTTTTGTATATTTATACGAAGTCAGCTTATTGCCCCCCACAAACCTGGGTCCTCATTTTACCTACCTTAGAAAGGATGGGAGGCTGAGTCAACCTTGAGCCTGGTGAGATTCGATCTTACTTTAATTGCAGGCAGCTGGTGTTAATCACAATGCTTTTAGTCTGCTGAGCCACCAGGCCCCTCTCCCTCCCCCTCCCTCCCCCCCTCTCTCTCTTTTCGCGGCCACCGGGTGGTGGTGGGGAAGCTGTTGTCCGACAGCAAGGGGTTGGACTAGATGACCTCCAAGGTCCCTTCCTTCCAAGTCTGTTGCTGTTAAATCTAGAAGCCGCGTCTCCGCGACTGACGCAGCAGTCCCCAGCCGCTCGGTTGCTCTCCAAAAGCCGACGGGGGGAGGTGGGGGGGGAGAATTACTGAACTTTCCATCCACCTTCTTCCACCACCACCCCATCCCGTTGCTTTCAGATTCTCCCCCCCCCCGCATCAAAATTTGGGGAATCCCTGCAACCGAAAGCGTGATTGACAGCTGCGCCTTTGTTTCGCTCCCGCGACCGAAGGCGCAGCTTTCATTCCGCTTCGGTGTGTAACTGAGGCAGCAAAAGATAAACCTTGCTTTGGGGGAGGCGCAACCCTTGCTTTGATCCGGTGTTGCGCTGAGATTCCTCCCCTCCCAAGGAATAAGGAATTGTAATCGCCCCATTGCAGCTTTCCATTCTTATTTTTCTTTTCTGACAAAAGGGGAAAAGATGGGATCGCTTGTGCAGCGGTAGCTTTTAGGGAGCTGTCCAAATGGAAGCGCTTGTCTTCTTCCTTTGCATCAGCGTTGATGCAAAAAGCAAGAGAGCAAAAATATGCTCCCTTGTTGGCTAGAAGGACTCCCTTCTGAGTTGTGTCACAGACCACAAGCGAGTTAAACTTGAGTGAACTGCCCACCTCTAATCTTAAAGGTGGCGGGGCGAGGTTAAGGAGAGGAGATTTCTAGCGGCTTAGTTCTGAAATCTTTTCAAGCTCTCAATTTTTGGGAAATGATTGTGATTGTGCAGAAGAATTCATAGAGAGCATATTTTTCCCAAAACAATTTCTGTACTTTACTGCAGAGCTACATTTTAGAAAATATTTAGTGCAGAGTTGGAATATAGCTGGACTCCTTATAATCCACTGGGCAGAAAAAAAAAAAAAGGAGTTTCACCACGCACATCCAATTAGGTGGCAATATTCACTATAGATAAAATCCTTCAAAAACTTTGTCCTAGGTGACTCGGAGCTGAGAGTTAGTAAAACCAGAGAAAATATGTAGGAGGGTTGATTGTAGTAAAGTTGTTTAGTTGCTTTAAAGTTATGCATATGAGATCCAACTTGCTTGGTTTCAATAGCTGTGTCACATCCTGCCAAAGCTGTTTTGTGACCTTTGAATGCAACAGACAACAACTGCAGCAGTTTCCAGGCAGGCAATGGTGCAATGCACCAACATGTTCCAGAAGTCTCTGCCCACCTCTGCCACACCCAAATTAACATAGGAGCTGTCCAGCATCCGAGGTGCTGAAATGGATGGCTACTTGTCATTAGCCATGACAGCCATATATGCAGTAGCTGTATCCTTCTAAATGGAAAGGGAACTATTATCCATAAGTCCAACAAAGCTATGTTCTGGAATAGTTATATACGAATGACAACTATATAACATACTGACAGTTCGTGCCTTTTAATCTATGCAGATTAAGCTCAGTTATAAAACTCACTTCAACTGAAACACCTTTCCAATTAATTCTGATTAATATGAACTTACCAACAGCTCAAATTAGAATATGACTGAGCGGTATGCTTAGCTGTACTCACACGTGCTGAATTTTTAATAGCTAGTTTGTACAACTTGCTAAGTTTCAAACATCTAACCAAAATTAACATTAATCAAAATGGGCATATTTTCTAAGTATTACCATTAGGTCTTATATCTTATTTTCTAAGTATATTGTATGGATGTAATTATTAAGAAGAAGTACCTTGTCTTGACAGGGTCTGGTTATAGATAAATTTTTTTTATAAACCCTCAGTATTATAAATGCTGATGCGAAAAATTCCCATCAATTTGATAAATGGCACTTTTAAGTGGACATATCTGGCATTAGCTCTGCCTGTCATCTTAAATCATTTATGAGTTTGAATTGAAGGTTAGCTTGATTCTTAACACAGGTATTTTAACAGCCCTGTTAAAGAAAATGATGATTTATGACTATAGATTGGATTCTGGCTTAAAATAGATCCATTACATTCATCGGTGCTTAAGTTAAGAAAGATGAACTCATCTCATTGAATTTGGGAAAATCACTCTGACTATAGCTTAATTTGGGCATATGTTTTGTATAGGAATAAATTGGTATTCTTCTAGCTTGCCTCAATTATTTACCATGTTTTTACTAAATATTTACTAAATACTGAAGTATTTACTAAATACTGAACCAGAAACTATGGCTTTTGAGAAGTATATTTTGGTCTAAGGATCAGAGTCCTTAAGGGAGCTTAAACAGCATATCTAGGAACGAAATCAGTAATATAGGGACACACGGCTCGGATATTCCAGATGAACCCTTCCACTGAAGTCTTCTATGTGGCTCAGTGGCTAAGACACAGCTTGTTGATCAGAAAGGTTGGCGGTTCGAATCCCTGCTCTCCTGCGTGAGCAGGGGGTTGGACTTGATGACCTCCAAGGTCCCTTCCAACTCTGTTACTGTTAAGTGGAACTAAACTGTTCCTTACCATGGCAAAAACCAGTAAAAAAATATTTGAGCTTTGCAGATCTAAGTGAGATTATACACTTAACCGTTGCATTTTTTCCCCCCAAATAGGATACAGTGAATAAACTAGAAAATGAACTGAGAACCACAAAAAGTGAAATGGCTCGGTATCTGAAGGAATACCAGGATCTCCTGAACGTGAAAATGGCTCTGGATATCGAAATTGCAGCATATAGGTAAATTCCTAAAGAAAGGAATGAGCTGAGAAGCATAAATTCACTTCATTTCACTTTGGGAAAACACACCTTTCCTATTGGCTTTGTTAACTTGTTTCTGAATTCACCCATTTCTTGGGTTCATAAGATTCCTTTAGTTCAGGGGTCTCCAACCTTGGCAACTTTAAGATGGCTGGAGAATTCTGGGAGTTGAAGTCCTCCAGACTTAAAGTTGCCAAGGTTGGAGACCCCTGCTTTAGTTTACCTTTAATTATCCTCGTTAAGCCAGTATGTACTGGGAGTGTAAGTTTTGTTTCCCAGTCTTTTTCTTCCCCAATAGTTTGAAAATAATTTACAAGTCCCATTCAGAGAAATATTTTGATATGCACAGTGTGTAATGACAAGCTGTATATCAGTGCATTGGCCTATGCACTATATGGAATATGACATCAATGCTCAACAGTGACAATATATATAAATATATTGTCGAAACGTCGCCAAGACACTTCCAATTTTACGCGGGAGAAAACCCGAATAACTATATTGCAAATAGTCTCCTGCTCTCGCCAAAGAAAATGCAAAATGTAAGAGGATAGTATTACAGAAATCCCCAACAAGTTTCTTGTTTGACTAACACCCCCATCAGAGTCCAGGCTAACTATGCATTAAACCAGGAAGGTCATAACTACCAGCCTTTCTCTTTGTACGCGGTTGATGCATAGATTGGATGCCTTTCATCTTTTTTTCTTGCTCAGATAATTGGAGAAGGGGCTGCCTAACCATTCAAGAGACACGAACAGAATGTCAATCTGTCCTGCACTGTATTGCAAATGTCCCATTTCATTCCCAGAATCAGATTCTTCCATGTCTTTGGGAAAGAAGAATAAAAGACTATCCGAGGCTCAGAAATTATTCATATTTTGAGCTGAACTCTTAAGATATAGTTTTAAATTATTGGTAAATAAGTTTTTAAAGAAAGTGTTACTTGGTTTTACTATTAGTCGATTAATTATCACGACTGCTCTTTATATTTACTTATTTATTTATTTATTTATTTATTTATTTATTTATTTATTTATTTATCAAATTTCTATACCGCCCTACTCCCGGAGGACTCAGGGCGGTGAACAGCCAAGATAAAATACAGATAATGCAAGCATTAAAAGTCCCTTAAAATTATTAAATATTTTGGCCGAAACACAGATTAAAACACCCAATTTATAAAATCAAACGAATTAAAAATTTAAAAAAGGAGAGTTAGGCCAGGCCGGCCTGCTGAAACAGGAATGTTTTGAGGGCACGGCGGAAAGTGCGCAGATCCGGAATCCTCTGTATCTCCGGGGGGAGCTCGTTCCAGATTGCGGGTGCCCCCACAGAGAAGGCTCTCCCCCTGGGGGCCGCCAGTCGACACTGTTTGGCCGACGGCACCCTGAGAAGCCCCTCTCTATGGGAGCGTACTGGTCGGTGAGAGGCTATTGGTACCAGAAGGCGGTCTCGTAAATACCCCGGTCCGATGCCATGGAGCGCTCTAAAGGTGGTAACCAAAACCTTGAAGCACACCCGGAAGACCACCGGGAGCCAGTGCAGCTCGCGCAGGAGGGGGGTCACATGGGAGTGCCACGCCGCTCCCATAACCACCCGCGCGGCCGCGTTCTGGACCAGCTGGAGCCTCCGGGTGCTCCTCAAGGGGAGCCCCATGTAGAGAGCATTTCAGTAGTCCAGGCGGGAAGTAACGAGAGCATGAGTGACTTATTTATGCTGTGGATGTTTTGATTGATCCATCATCTTTTAAGTTGTTTTAGAATTGTAAGCCATTCGGAGTTACTTGGTTGAGTTGGGTGGGTATAGAAAATGAATGAACAATGAACAAAGGAGTGAAATAACGATGGCAGTGAAGAAATGTGCCTTTTGTCTTCTAGAAAACTGCTGGAAGGTGAAGAGACTCGACTCAGTTTCACAAGCGTGGGAAACATAAGCAGTGGCTACACGCAGAGCGGTTCGACCTTTGGGAGATCGGCCTACAGTGGTTTACAGAGCAGCTCCTACTTAATGTCAGCTCGTTCCTTCCCTGCCTATTATTCAAGCCATGTGCAAGAAGAACAGATAGATGTCGAGGAGACGATTGAAGCAACTAAAATGGAAGAAGCCAAAGAAACTCCCCCTTCAGAAGGAGAGGAAGAGGGGGAAGCCGAGGGGGAAGGTGAAGAAGGAGAAGAAGGAGAGGAAGAAGAAGGTACTTTTGGGCAGGGGAAAAATATATATTCTGAAATTTATTGAGTTACAGTCACACACCAAACAAACTAAATATTTGAAATCAAGGTTGCATAGCGCTAGGGAATTTTACCCATTTATTTTACCGTGTCTACTCTAACTACATGGATGTGGTGGCTCAGTGGCTAAGATGCTGAGCTTGTTGATCGAAAGGTCAGCAGTTCAGCAGTTCGAATCCCTAGTGCCACATACCGGGGTGAGCTCCCGTGACTTGTCCCAGCTTCTGCCAACCTAGCAGTTCGAAAGCAGGTAAAAAAGTGCAAGTAGAAAAAATAGGGACCACCTTTGGTGGGAAGGTAACAGCATTCTGTGCACCTTTGGTGTTGAGTCATGCTGGCCACATGACCACGGAGACGTCTTCGGACAGCGCTGGCCCTTCAGCTTTGAAACGGAGATGAGCACCGCCCCCTAGAGTTGGGAACGACTAGCACATATGTGCAAGGGGAACCTTTACCTTTACCTTTACTCTAACTACACGTATAGTGGGATTAAAACTTTCCCCAAACTTTGGGATGGATGAAACTTGAATTCAAGGTTTGGCATCCTCTTTAAGGTTGTAGTCTACTTCTGAATTCAATGATAAATTTCTTAAGGCCATGATCTTTTTTTCTTTCTTTTGCATTTTTATTTGATAAATCTCTCACGCATTGATTTAAAACAGAAGGTGAGATAATCAAGCAAAAATGCCAAATGAATGAAATCTTTAAATTGGCTATTTTAACGGGTAGTTTTATTTTTCTCTTCAAACTGCCTGCCAAGATTTATTGTGTAGATTGCTATTGATTGGCACGCATAGTCCTGCTCATTTGGCTAGAATTAATCAAAGCAGCAAATGACACTACTATGAATTATTGAAACTATGAGGATAAAAGGGTTTTTTGAAGCCTAAATAAACACTGAACATCACTTGGATTTGCATATTCTATTTTCCTTCTTCTTCTTTGCTGAATACGTATTTTTTGGTCATGTACTACCATTGCTTTGATCAATGAAAGCAAGCATTGAATTAGTCATTTTTTGAAGAATTCTGCTACAGATCAAAGAAGTTTTATTTGTTGATATCTTGCCTTTTCCAAGTGCAAATATCCAATGATAGCCAACATTTCTAACTTTGGATTCAAAGATTCTTAAATGGCGTCTCACCTATTGATCTCACCAGGACGAATCCCATTCCACGTAATCTGTGCAGTTTAGAAGCTAGAAAGAATTCTGTGTATTACAACCCAGTTTTAACTTAGATTGTGAACAAAATTGGCTTGAGCGTGTTGATTTTTAAGAGATTCATAAACCTTTTAAAAAGATATTATATTGCATATATTTTCAATGGGTTTGAACCAAGTTTGCTCCCGGCTATTCTCAAATTATTCTATAATGGCAACCAGACCATCACGTGCTGTAATCTTACGTCCCAAACTTTGTCTTTATCTCTCTTTTTATTTAGAAGCTAAAGAAGAAACTGAAGAGGGTGAGGAGGAAGGTGGAGAAGGTGAAGGAGAGGAAGGAGAAGAAGAAGAGGAAGCAGACGAGGGAGATAAAAAGGAAGAGGAAGATGAACAAGAAAAATCTAGTGGAGAAGAAACTCCAAAGCAGCAGAAGAAGGATTGATCTGAATCAACGTGTGTGCTGGTTTCCCAGATAGCGAGCTAGAATTGCTACACCATGTATTTAAATTCCAAATATGTTCTTGTGTTTAAATAATTTAATTATTTATCCAATCTTTTTCTCTTTTCTTTTTTTTGATGCAAAGTAACCCGAATGCTTGCAGAGTGTCAGGCTGGCTTACCGCCAAACCATGCATGGTATATTCTTATGAGTCCCACATCAATGTGCAATTGGGCTGATTTAAAACCTTAATGTCTAAGGGAAAATTAATAAATTAAGAGATATGGAATTTATCAGTGGGGTGGGGGGAAATATGTCTCAGGTTAGGCTTGTTCTGGAAACCATGAATGGGAAAAACAATGAAATCTGTGCAATCAAGCTGGTTAATAAAGTTACAGAGCTGCATATACAACTTTCAGTTTTAAGTATTTCTTGACTAATTCCAAAAGGGGTGCCTGAAATATTTCTAATATATCCCATATCAAATGAGGTTGTGATTGAGATACGGACCACATGGTTCCATTGATGACTTTCCATAAGGGATGAACCAGAAGCAAAGAAAGACAGGATTCTATTTGCCCACCAAACTTGTGGGAAGAGTTTGGGTCAAGATCTTTCACAGAACCTATCTCGAGAGGATTGTTAGGATAAATAGATTAAAGGGATGCTCCTGTTTGCCAACCTGAGCTGGAAAGACAAGATATAAATATTAAAACCCAGCTATAATAATTTCCCCAGATACAGTCTTTAGTATCTTCAGAAAAACAAAACTGGAAATAGTCTCCAACAGTGAGGTTAACTCAGCCTGAAGTAATAAGCTTGAAGACTGTATTCAGTCCAGTGGTGGGTTCCTCCCGGTTCGGTTCGGTCCGGTTCAGCCGAGCCGGTAGCAGTGACGATATGTCACTGAACCGGTTCTCCCCCCCCCCCCCCCCCCCCCCCCCCCCCCCATGTTATTCTTACCTTTTATTTGGTCCCACCCCCAATCTATTGCTGCCTCCTGAGTCCCAGCTGAGGACTAGAGGGAAAAAAAACTGTTTAAACTCTTGCCGCGGGGCTTCAAAGGGCCGTCCTACAGCTGATCAGTGTTAAAAGCAAACAAATGAGTCGGGTCGTAAGTGCGAGGACCTTCCAGAAATGACTCTGACCAGCTAGCCACGCCCACCTAGTCACATGACCTCCAAGCCACACCCACAAAATAAGCCACGCCCACAGAAGCGGTAGTAAAAAAATTTAGAACGCACCCCTGGTTGTAACTGTCATATGACCCGTCGTAAATCACTTTTTTTGTAGTGCAACTGTAATTTTGAATGGTCACTAAATGAACAGTTGCAAGTTGAGGACTACCTGTAGGGAAATAGCAATGAGGGAAGAAGGAAAAAAAAGAACAGAGGCCTGGCTTTCTAATGGTCAGCCGCCACTTTCATTAAACATACCCTGTTTTAGATTTCTTTAATATTTTTTTCTTTAAGGTGACTTGATCGTTTTCACTCCTAAGCTTTAAAGTAGGGGTGTCCATCCTTGGCAACTTTAAGACCTGTGTACCAGTGGTGGGATTCCAAAATTTTAGCAACCGGTTCTCTGCCCAGTTGCTGGGTGGGCGTGGCCATGGTGGCCGTGGCCTCCTTGGCCTTCTGCACCACAGCGGCATGGGGGGGAGGCGTTTTCACCCTCCCCAAGCTCTGGAGGCTTTTCTTGAGCCTCCGGGAAGGCACAAATGGCCTCCCTTGGATTCCGGAGACCCTCTGGAGGCTGGAAATGGGCCCATTTCCAGACTTCCAGAACTTCCGGGAGGCCCGTTTTTCACCCTCCCAGAGCCTCTGTGCAGGTGCTGCATTTACCTGGCATCCAAAATGGGCCTCATGGAGACTCCTGGGAGGGGTGGGGTGGATGGGGCCGGGCCAGCCAGTCCTATCGGTTCGGTGAACCAGATGTAAAATTAGCATCCGGTTAGCCTGAAGCGGTCCGAACCGGCTGAATCCCAACCCTTCTGTGGACTTTAGCGCCTAGAATGCTGGAAGTTGAAGTACCCAGTTCTTAAGGTTTCCAAGGCCGAACACTTGTGCTCTAAAGTAGAGGAAATCAAATCACATTACCCTGTGAGAAAATCAAACCAACAGCTTGATTTAAGTTTCGAGTTCGATTATAGTGATGTTTATGTACAGTGCTAGAAGCAAACCAATTATACAGAACTTCCAGATGTCTTATGTTTAACTCAGGGTCAGACAATTTAAGGTTTCCCCAATTATTGGACTAGAGCAGTGATGGCGAACCTTTTCGGCACCGAGTGCCCAAACCGGAATGTGCGTGCATGTGTGTATGCCAGAGCACTGGAAACCCATAGACCAGCCTGCCAGTGTGTACATGCCTGTTTTTGGGCCATTGTTCGGGCCTGAAAACTGCCCGGAAAATGGCTCCAAAAAGGCCTGAAAATGGCTCAGAAAACAGCCCAAAAAAGGCCCAGAAACTGCTTGGTTTTTGGCCGTTTTTAGGCCGTTTTCCGGTGCTCTGGTGCCTGCGAAGACCAGCTGGCTGGTGCGTGCATGCCTGGTTTTTGGCCTTTTTGGGCTGAAAAATGGCCTGAAAAATGCCCCAAAAAATGGCCTGAAAAGTGCCCCAAAAATGGCCTAAAAGCAGCCTGAAAATGGCAAGAAACCAGAAGAGCAGCTGGCGATGGCACATGTGCCCACAGAGATGGCTCTGTGTGCCACTTTTGGCATGCATGCCATAGATTCACCATCATTGGACTAGAGCCATGATGGCGAACCTGTGGCACGCGGAGCCATATCAGTGGGCACATGAGCTCAGCTCTGGCACACATGTGCATGCCGGCCAGCTGATTTTCGGGCCTTCTGGGCCCACTGGAAGTCAGCTAACAGGCTGTTTCTGGCCTCTGGAGGGCCTCCAGGAGGAGGGGAGGTTGTTTTCGCCCTCCCTAGGCTTCTAGAAAGGCTCTGGAGCCTGGGAGGGCAAAAAGCAGGCCTACTGGGCCCACCAGGCCATCATGTGCCAAAAGCGGGGGAAGTGCAGGGGGGTTGCACACACACGCATGAGGGTGGGCCACATAGAATTATGTGTGTGGGCACACGTGTGTGCAACCCCTCCGCACTTCCCCCACTTTTGGCACGCGATGGCAAAAAGGTTAGCCATCACTGGAGTAAAGTGTCAGCCCTGGAGCCATTTCCCCCCGGCACCTTCAGGGCTGCCACAGCGGAGATGAGTCAAGCTGTGGAGGTGGGATTTGAGACCAAGTGACCGTTGGATGGTGACCTGATTGGACCATGTGATGGACTATATAGGTAGGGAAAAGAAAACAATACCTTTAACTAGAGGGAAACCTGAGGGGGGTTTAGAGTCGGGTTTCCCCAGATGTGCCAATAAGACATGCCTAATAAATCTATACTTTGAGGAACATGCCTGCCTTGGAGTTTTGATTCTGTTGGGTGTGTTACTTGGAACCCTGACATAGAGATCCTAATGTCTTGCTGTTGGCCATAATGGTTGTGTTTAGTGAGGGCTGAAACAAACACCCAAATGCTTAGCAGAATCTTACTGCTTAAGCTATTGTGTTCTGTCCCCCGTCCTCACACAGACAAATGCAATATCAAAGACGTCTGCCAATAATTTATTGTATAAACAGACCAGAATTCCTGCAGATGAGAGTTCTGGCAGCTAACTGTAAAACACCTGCCAAGTCCAATTAGTAGTCCCAAAAAGCAGGAGAGGCCTTATCTGCAGTCTGTTTCCAGAGCGACAAATTATCCACAAGCGTTTAGTCCAAAATATATCTGAGCCGAAGTGCAGGATTCACGATGTGACTCTTTAGAGTTTAAACTTTTGTCCGTCATAAAGCCTGCCAAGCAATCACGCCCCCTTTTATCCCTTGTGGGGTATGGCTCAGTGACTCAGCTCAATCCCTGGCCCTCCCACGCCTCTTCCTTTGCTGCGCACACTTCTCCCTCCGACGCTGCCTGGGATCAAGCCAGGATTCATCATTATCACTCTCTATCAATGGGTGCTCCAAAATGCCCTCCTCCTGGCCTTCAGATGGAACCTGAGGCATTGCCAGAGAGGAGGGTCCTGGAGAGGGAGGCCTTGTCAGTTCCTCCCCCTCACTTTCTGAGTCCTCTTCCTCCATGAGGACAGTCTCGGGAGTCAGAGTCACAACATATTGACCAATCACTGAAAAACAACACTAAATATTGGCTTAGAAAGTCAATACTGTAAATGCTAACCAATTTTCAATCGACTCTTGTAATTTGTTCATATCTTCCCAAAATCCAGTTCTTGCATTCATTTGCTTGAAAGAACGGATTCTTTATTTAGCAGCATGTTCCCCTTGAATTCAGTGCAAATAGCGCATGGGAGAAACCACCTTCCCTGTATCAAATATATTAAAAAATTCTTCCTTCCCTGTTTCATTTACAAGCTCCCTGTGACTTTTGTGGAATCAGTACTATAAACTGAAGGAAAGCTAAGCATCTCAAACAGAGGATAACCCAGGATTAGTTTTCCCCTGATGCAAGTATTATTCACTAGGAATATCCATTATGTTTTATGAACTCTGGAGTTGGACCAGGTTTCTTTTGACGCATTGCAACAAAAGAGAGGAGGAAACCAGCAACAGCAATTAAAAAAAGGGAACAGAGCATGGGACAACTCTGTTGGCTATTCAGAGGGCTACTTATTTATTTTTATTTATTTATTAGTTAGACTTCTATACCGCTTCAAAGTGCTTTACAGCCCTCTCTAAGCAGTTTACAAAGTTAGCATATAGCATACAACATATTGCATATTAACATATTTCATTAGCATATTGCCCCCAACAATCTGGGTCCTCATTTTACCCACCTCGGAAGGATGGAAGTGTTGTGGCTCCGTTGCCTGAGCCTGGGCTATCGACAGATGCAGACTCTGAGAGTGAGGGGGAGGAGTTGGCAAGGCCTCCCTCTCCAGGACCCTCCTCTCTGGCAATGCCTCCGGAGGACACCGAAGGCCAAACGATAGGCTCAGAGCCAAGCACGTCCCCGCAGCCACAGGAGGACAGCGACGAGGAAGATAAGTGCTGGCTGGACCCTCGGCAGAGGCGCAGGGAGAAGCGTGCACAGCAGAGGGGAAGGCGTGCCAGAGATTAGCTGAGTCACTGGACCACACCCCACAGGCTATAAATGTGGGTGTGGTGGCCGGTTCAGTTTGTGACGAGCAAAAACTGGAAATACTCCATGATCTCTGCGTTACTGGACTTTGCCTGCTTTATCGGACTGCATTTGGACTAATCCTTGTATTATTGACACTCTGCCTGTTTTATCGGAATGCTGCAGTCTAATCTTTGTTTTGTGTGAGTAAAGTCTGAATTGGCAGCTAGCCACTGGGTTGCTGCCAGCTTTATCAACAAAGAGTTTTGTTGGCCTA